AAATGGTATCAGTACAATTAAAAAAGGCAGGAAAACATTTCTATCAATGATACATCAACGTACATTACTGATTTGATTGTGTCACACCCAGTACATAGTCCCCATATGATAAACAATCAAAGGATTTTAGGCAATTCGTGCTATGCATATCATTAACTGAAATCCGACTTAAAGGTAATTTTTCAAAAACCATAATTTCATCTTTTCGAATTCTCCAACAGCTGTTAGTTGGTTGCGACACTTTTTTGCAAACTAGATTTTGCTCACGCTATTACCGTTCGCAGCAATTGACGCAATGATGGGAAGAGGCCTCGATGCTACCGGACTAGTCTAGCTTCTACTCTCCGTTTTTGACCTTATTAGTGTCTTCTTTTATAACCATAATCGTGAGCTGAAACACCTATCGAGCGAATACTTCGAAATGTCGGTATCATAATTTGGCACGGCATACTGTAGTCTCATGCAGTTCAATTTCGCAAAAAAGCGATCGAAAAATGACCAATAAAGTATTTCGCCAATGTATTCAGGGCGCCACGGGTTCCTGATTACTATTGGCCCTGGGTAAACGGTCCAACTCTGGGTAGTCGACTAGGTGATGCTCAGTTGTAGAAGGCTGCTGCTTCTGTGTATACATACAGTAGTGCTCAAAAGTCTTAGGTGAAATGGTTCTACAGCCGTACTTTTTAATCGTAACTCCTTTCCTATTGGATCTGATCATACGAAATTTCTATATCTGGAGCGTGGGGGTTTGTGAATATTTACCACTATCAACCTGCAATCTGATCATGTTCTAGATATTCCAAAGAGCATGAGCACATAATCGACTGAAAATACAGATGATGGCCCTTCTAGAATCTCTTTTCTTTTTGTCATGTCTGAAGTGTACGAGCGGTAACGCCGAACACAATAGATGAGGAAAACGCACATAAGGTGCGATTAAGTGCAGACGTCAGCAACTTTAGTTTTAGCAAAATCTGCCACCGCAACAAACACCTTGCTCTATCTGTGGATATTGCAGCTTCGCAGTCAAATAGTGTTGGGTAGGATGCAATATGTTCTAGTTAAACATATCCAAATTTTGCGCGATTTGATCTACTAACAAAAAAGTTATGAAAGAAAGAGCGTTAAAGCATTTCACCGGAGACTTTTGAGCGCTACTGTAGCTTCTGAGCTACCAACACTTAGCCAATTTTTTGTGTTTCCATTTTGAGATCACTTATATTGAGCAACCAAATGCAATAGTATTTATTTGGACTTCTGCGTAGCTCTCTTTCTTAAACGTACTGTTTCAGTTTCAAACATCGAAAACTAACTCAAGTATTAATATGTAATTTATTCATGTGTGCATGTGATTTGAACGGTCAGTTATTTTGTAGCAATATTTCGAAATATAGAGTTTTGCTTCAAATTTTGTTTGAGTCACCACAAATGTGTCGAGAACACGCGACTTACCTCATTGTCAGCACTTCTCCCTTCTCCTATTGAGTTCATCTCATGTGGTTGTACATACTCAGCTAATACCAAGAAAACTTATCGAAAGCCAATTTGTTTCTCTAGCTCAATCGCAATGCCATCAAAAGCTTCACTATATGCTCCTCGAGGTTTGCCGCTGATATAATGAGACCACGCCTATTTCTAGAGCGTGGTCTCATTATATCAAAGAGCGTCGTTCTGTAGAATATCAGAATAAATAAAATAAGAATATCAGACATGCGCCAGCGAAGTATTTAAAAAGGCTTTACATTCTTGAGCTCCTTGGTTTTTGGTTTTTTGAGCACTGACACATTGAAACGACAAAACATTCACTCCTGTACCAGCCAGTCACAAACCTCATGATGAGTTGCGCCTTTATGCGCTTTACGAAAACCTCAAAGGGCAGAGTTCGGCTGATCTGCATCTGTTCATCGACGGTGCTTAAGAGTTAGGAAATAATAGAATTGACC